CGTAGATTTCTACAAATAACTGCTCCAATCCTGTATTGAGCTGAATCCGTTTTATATACACGGATACTGTCAATCTCCAAAAGTAGATGCTAACTGTACTATTAATTCATTATAAATATTTCTGTCATGTTTTATGGCCGTATATAAACGGTTGTTTGCAATATTATAACCGTTTACATAGGGTAATATAATCTGTCAAAAATCTTTATAACATATATATACACGGCTGCTGTCAAGTTATGAGAAATCTCAATATTTACTAAAAAAAAAAAGAATTTGACTTTATCATAAATTCGTTATAAATATTCCTGATAGGTTATAGCATGTATATCCAGTAACGCTGGATTGTGCATATAACGCAGATAATGTGCAAAGTAACACAGAATCGTGCAATTCTGTGGCCGAAACGGATACCTCGAAAATAAATAAACAAATATTTTTCATTGGGCATCAAACTGAAAGAAATAAACCAGCGCATTCGGCTGCTGACACATTTATTCTAAACGTCATCATAAATATTCCCACGAAAATGTGTATTTTACAAGATCATTCGTGAGGATGATGACCTGACTAGAGTATTAAATGGAAACTATCGTGTTCCATAGATACATGTATATCTAAATACAAAAAGTATATATTACATTATGTTGTTGTTGTTTTTTCGATGATCCTGAGACAATTGTTAAACGATTACACTGAATTGTTATATTACACTGAAATAAGTAGATCAAATGTGACTGAGACCATTTTTACGACGTAACGTCGATTTCGTGAATGCAGCACTGAAGCAACTATGGTTAACTCATAAAAAGTAGCAGAATATTATTTTAACTGCTACAGTGTAGTGTTATACGAGGTATCCAGATTATGTCGAATATAAAGATTGTACTTATTAATTTCACAAACAAAAATGTCGCCTTCAAAACGGTAGTCAGGGCGTTATTCTCATGGGTGGTCTAGACAAGTAAGAATATTCCTAGAAAAACAATAATGCTGGTTAAAGTATAATGTCCTCACAGCCGTATGCTAAACTTAAATTATGATAAAATATTCTGGTCGGTTTACTCTCCGTGTTACTCGTTTTGGCCACAGCGTTGCACAGATTCGGCGTTACTTTTATGTTTTTTGCACATTCCTGCGTTACTGGATATACAGGATGGGTTAAAAGACCTATATACAATTTTATTCTGAGATTGAATCATAATTATTGATTTTCAACTACGAGTAAATTAATGGCTACATTGTATTATTTCTAAATATTGTGAATAATTCAAACATTCTGGAGCTTGCCAATTCTGTGTTTCACATACATTTTCTGCTTATCAATAAATTGAACGAATTGTTTTAATTATTAATGACAACATATTTACATACTTTTTATTCTTCAATTGATATATTCAGATGAAAAGGCGCTTTAAAATCTGGAAATTTGATGTATATCCTTGGCAGTAGTAACCAGTTGAATTTTTATGTTATGTTGTTGCTGTTGCTGCTGCTCTTTTTGTTGTTATTTTAATAAATGTTAGCTTCGATAAATGATGAAGTATTTGTCATTTTAAAATGAAAAAATATTGGCCTTTAAGTATAGGTTAGTGTTTAATAATACGTATTAACAAAAATAATTGGTCAAGCCTGCCGCAGGCAGGCGACCAATTATTTTTGTTAATGCGTATTATTAAACATAAACCTATTTAATGATCAACATTATTTTTTTCAAACAAAAACAAGGCATTTCTCTAAATCAATGATAGCTCCGCCCTTTCGCTCTACAAGATGTCTACGCCTTGTCAAGTTTCTAACATGTCACATTTAGATAAGCTAACTAAATGGCCCTTTCAACATATAATCAGGCACATTTGTATTGAAATGTATTGAATTTATACCTTTATCTACAGTCACAGGTGGCAGTATCAGTGTTTGGACACCCCACCCCTATCTGCCCCTGGACCCGAGACTACCTGGACCCCTACTACAACCCTGAAAAAAAAATAATTCAACACTCTAAGGCTTACTAAAAGGTACCAAATACAAAACCACCGATGAAATTATATAAAAAAGATTTTTTTTCCACTATCAAAATTATAGTTATAGAAAGGTGAAAAGCCTACTGTATGTTTATTTGCCAAACAATGTGGAACACGGGAAATCGTCGTTTCGGCTACTGAGGCGCATTCCGGCGGGATTTCGCTGCATCATTCATTAACATCAATAAAAAGAACTAGAATTCCACAGCTTATCTAATTCAAGTCCAACAAATATCACTATCATTCCGATTTTTTCTGTTTCACGGTATTTTTTGAATTGTCGTAGCCATTTTGCAGTCTGATACCTGGGTTGAAATACGCGATCTGATTGGACGAGCCAAATTGGACGTCCAATCAGATCGCGTATAACACATGTAGGTATCAGAATCAAAATGGCAACGACAAGTAAAAAAATACCGTGAAATAGAAAAAATCGATATAATATTGATATTCGTCAGACTTGAATTAAGTTAGCTGTGGAATTCAAGTTCTTTTTATTGATGTAAATGAATGATGCAGCCAAATGCCTTCGGAATGCGCCTCAGTCGCCGAAACGACGATTTCCCGTGTTCCACATTGTTTGGCAAATGAACTTATAGTAGGCTTTTCACCTTTCTATAACTATAATTTTGATAGTGGAAAAAAAAAATTTTTAATATAATTTCATCGGTGGTTTTGTATTTGGTACCTTTTAGTAAGCCTTAGAGTGTTGATTTTTTTTTCAGGGTTGTAGTAGGGGTCCAGGGGCAGATAGGGGTGGGGTGTCCAAACACTGATACTGCCACCTGTGTCTACAGTAAGACTATCATGTTTCTATAAAATATCTGAGAAAAAAACAGTGAGGAAAACGATGCAAAACAATGGAGTTAATGAAATGTGTATATCCTTTTAAAATAAATGGAAAATGTAGGTGGGGTCCATTTACAATGAGTGTTCCAGCCAAAAAATGTAATCATTGTATTCTTAATATCAATGATTGTTAATGCAGTTCATTCCTATCAAGTGAAAAAAAATAAAGTTTTGGAAAATATAAAGTTTAAAACACTCGGCAATTTATAACAGACATTTTTCTTAGAGTTAAACGGATATAAAAAATATTATGTAGTCATTTGTCTCTGCGTGCCCAACATGTATTATCTATGTAATAAATCAATAGCCATCAAGAATAATAAGTATGGGGGTGTCTTAAGAAAATGTTAACATGTATAAGCCGCGTCTGATCAGGATCCATGCTGTTCGCTATCAGTTTCTTACTTGTAATAGAGTTGGTAAGCGAACAGCATGGATCCTGATCAGACTGCACGGATGCGCAGGCTGGTCTGGATCCATGCTGGTCGCAAACGCACTATGTTGGTTTTGTCGTGACGCGGCTCAATTATATTTATTTACTTTAAAGGTCCATAGACCCACTTTGGGGGAATGATTCCGTTACGTTTATCTTGTGATGGTGAACAATGTTATGGTATTTGAAGTCATTTTATCAGTGCATAAACTGTCATAAATAATTTAATATTGGGTTACAAGTACATGTATAAAATTGAGCCAGGATTGCTGCATCATTTTTGTTACAAGTAAATAAGTGTTTTTTTTAATGTTGAATTCTGTCTTGAAAACTGTATACTATCCCCGCAATTGTTCAAAACGAAACATGCTTGCATATACACTGTGAGTTTTATGATTTCTCCGCACTACTTTATTTTGGTAAGTATGGGTTCGAATTAATGATCACATTTAATTAGATCCGGCCGATCAGTACAGTATCCGTAAGCATATGGGTATCAGGCCTCGACTTTGCAAGTTCGAAAACATATTATCCGCCGGCAGTGAGACATATTTCGTCTGTCTGATGTCTACAATGATATATATGGAGTTGCCAGTCTCTGACGTCCTGTAACACAATCCGTTTGAAAATTAACACGACTGAATTACTTTTACCAGGGTCTTTAAAATTTTATTTAAAAGTTTCCGCTTCAAGTAAAAAAACCAAGTAGCTTTCAGTTCTTTAAAAGACTTAACAATAATCCAATTCTATTGCAGACAAGACAACTCCTGTATAACTATGCTGTAAAAATTGTACTGATTAAATGTGTATCATGTCAAGCATTTAAAATGTTTTGGACATAGATATTAATTATGAGTGTATCTTGTCGCGCAATATTAATAATATCTGTCATATTTTATTATATTATTCTATTATATCTTTGTATCATAGTTTGGAGACCTTTCTGTTGAAAATGTGTCCGGGTTAAATCGTATACATATACATGCACAGTGCGTTAACTGGAGTGCGGGTATTAGTTACCCGCACTCCAGAGCGTGCCCATTGATTGGCTCATTTTTGCTGGGGTTTACATATTGTGACGGCAGAGAAAGGGAAAGCGACAGAAATGTCATATTCAGATGTCCGTTCATTGGTTCATTTTTGCCGGGGTTTCATATTGTGACAACAGGGAACGTGCTTTTATCTTTGACTATGATACAAAAGAGAAAGAACACCAAAACACTCGGTAATCTGATTAATACTCGGGGGCTACGCCCCCTCGTACAAATCAGATAGCTTCGTGTTTCGGTGCTCTTTCTATTACTTATTTTCAATGAAAATTTATATCATTACAACCGTAACTACTTTCATTCAACAGCGTATTAATTACAAAATCATTCATAGCGGTAAAATGACGTCATCTTTATCGTGCCATTGTACAGCACGCGACTCATCTGGAACCCCCCATGCCAGATGAAATTTCCGGCATGTGTAAAACTAACGGAAACGCCAGTCTGATATGCAAGAATACTCGTTATGGTGATCATAGCAAGTTTTACTAATGTCAAAACACGTACCATTTATAGATCGAGCAATTGCACTCGAGGTATTTTACCCATTCTACCACACATGTTTGCTTGGCGAAGGGAACGGCGTGCTTATCATCGTGTATTTACAAAATGTCATGTTTCCGGTTGTCTCTGACATAAAAAAAACAATCATTGGCGCTTTAATGAAAAGTAAACAAAACACACACACAGAACTGTTATATGAAGATTAATTATCGTTTGAAGGCAAAAACTCTTTTGTCATGGCAACTTTTATTTTGAACAAGACTTGACATCTAAGAAAATATAATTTGACTAGATGGGTAAAATCATTGACCTGTCTTTGCGTCTGGAAAAAAACATGAATGAAACATGCATTAAATGTTCACTTCCGGCCCGTCATGTCGTCTGCTCGCCTCTATAAATAGTGATATTCTTTTCAGTTTCATGCACTTTGACCTCATATAAAAGTCCAGGTTGAAGTTGTTCAGCCATTCTCTCCCAAATATACACTGCAATATTCTCTGCTGTACTGACTTTATCTTTAAAGTGGTCCACGTCTAAATCCAAATTTTTATGATCAAGTGTTGACATAAAGGCTTTTTCCATGTAAGCTTTAAGATCGGTAAGATTAAGCACCATTCCGGTCACAGGGTCAACAGGACCACGAAGAGTCACTTCGACTTTATAGTTATGACCATGTCCGTTTGGATTATTACATTTACCAAATATTTTCTGATTTTCTTCGGCCGAGAGTTCTTTAGAATGAAGACGATGACATGCGCTGAATGAATCTGTCCGGGAAATGTAAACTACCGGTTTCTTATTGTCACTAGACATATTTTATCCAAATTTTTCTGAAATATAGAAATATTCTTTTTTATTATTATTATTTTCATTATTATTATCATTATCTTCGTATCTACATACAAATGTGACGTTCCTCAGCCAATGCATTTTGATTTAATAGTTGCTATGTTGTTACGCATCCTAGTGATATTTTACCTTTATATCTAAAATGTGTCAGGTATGTACACTGTTTGAACTTCCGAAGTCAATGCACGATGATTAAAGAAGCACATCTCCAGTTTCAATTTTCATGAAAATTTTGAGAGTACGGTTAAAAGTTTAACAAAGAAAGCAATTTACACTTTGTAAACGGCACTTGGCTTATCTGGCGCCATAGTAAGTAAAGTAAAGTAAAGTAAAGATAAGTAAAGTAAAGTAAAGTAAAGTAAAGTAAAGAAAAGTAAAGTCAAGTCAAGTCAAGTCAAGTCAAGTCAAGTCAAGTCAAGTCAAGTAAAGTAGTAAAGTAAGTTACGTCTTTATTTAATGAGGCTTACACATTCAGTTTCCTGATCTTCCATGCGGGCCTCAGTATATACAAAAATAACATAATATACAATCACAATCAACATTAAGACAACATAAATATGTACATTATAAACATCATATCAATACAGCTTTAAATATCATGTTTTTATTTCTTTTTCCAATCTTTAGATGACATTGATTTATTATGACCTCAAGATGCATCTACATTCAATTATTCATGTTCCTCGGTGAATGCATAATGCTTAACTTGAATAATCTCTGTGACCTTGACCTTTGACTTAAAATAATTTAAGAAGGTAGGTTTCAATGTATTATTAGATATTATGAAAGTTTATGACCATCAACGAAAATTTAACTGTTAGCTATTGCCCATGCCAATACCGTCAAACGAGTCATGACAATACCTCCAAAACAAGCATCCTTTGCGAAAAAGCTTGCAGGTATATAAAGAGGGTATTGAATGAATGTATGTTTAATACTGAAAATATTGAACAAGTTGACTAAAATTATATTCTGCGAGCCTCTGGCGAACATATTATTACATATATTCTACGAGTTCAATAAATTCAGTAATGAACTATACTATTTTAATATTCCTCCTATCACATACCAAAAATAAAGACCGTTTGAAGTAAAAAAAAAGAGCCATTTTTTTCATTGACGCGTTTATAGTATATTGCTAACATTTAGCACGACTGACATGTAACCTTTTAATATTCTGTGATCTGTACTTAGGCTAGTGTCGGTTTCCGAAGAAAAACGTGCTTCCGAGAGATCACCTTTTTTCCAGCTACAAAATGTATTAAAACTCATTTTTTATTATAATAATAATGATGATGATGATGGTGGTTGATAGTAACTATACTTTCAAGAAATTAACATACGTATATGGCATATGTTCTACATAGAAGCATATAAAGTGTAAATGGTATCACACGTGATGCTACGAGGTTGCCCATGATTATGTTTACAAGTTACAGGATAATGTATCTCTCATCGTATTATTATCATTATTTGCTTTGTTTGATCGGAACTGATACTGAATACTTTAGGAGATTTATCATTAATCGACTTCTTTTGTAAACATATCAAATTCATTTAAATTGGACAAAAGACACAAATAATTAATAAGCAATTAAGTAAAAACTTCAAGCCACTGAAATAAAAGCACATTTTGCCTCGAAAACGAATAAAAAGCAAACAAGAGTTTTATAACGTTAAATATCGGTTAAAGAGTATGTTAGATGCTTGTTCCCTGACGAAAGAAGCAATGATGTAGCTTTGTCATAACAGCTGCAAAGTTCAAACAAAGAAGTATTTGTGTTTCCAAAAATAAATAACTAAATTACTAAATAACTATAATTGTACTTATTGCCTGAAAGCAACAGAAGCATATGATGGGTCAAGTTACTGGCACTTGAGTAACTTTCTGAAACTAAAACAGAACACAAAAAAGATAAACATTTTAAGAAATAAAAAAAAATAAAACCATTTCTCAGGCATATTGGCCTTTTAACAATTATTTTTGTTAGTTTGTTTTGGGTTATACGTCACATGACATAGGTCATATCGCGACGTTCCAGCTTTACTGGTGGAGGAAGACCTCAGGTGCCCTTCCGTGCATTATTTCAGGCACGAACGGGCACCTGAGTAGAACCACCGAGGTTCCGTAAGCTAGCTGGATAGCTTCCTCACATGAAAGAATCCAAAGTACCTGTCGGGATTCGAACCCACAGCGGTGAGGGGCAAGTGGTTAACAATTAATTACAGCGTAAGAAATTGATGAAGTTAATTCAGTATCATGTTTATTTTGCCGTAACACCCCTTAACCCCCCCCCCCCCCTTCTTTGACTCAACACAAAACTCGAGACATCGACAAGGTACTGGCGTCATTGGTATTCTGAAAGAGCCCTCGCATATGTAATGAAGCCAACACGATCATTCATTAAGGGCCGATATTGTGGAATGATGTCGACTCTATCCCAATCATTTCAGTGGTTCCTATTTAGTCTATCCATATATATTAATCGCCATAATTGTACGCTATCATTTATTGAACGGCAATGTTGGGTCCCTCACATTTGCGAGGACTCATTCACATTGTCGATGGCTCGATCACATTTGAATAAATGTTAGTTTTTTATTTTTAACCAAGCTTCTTAAAATTATTTTGTGTTGAACTAAAGGGGAGGTTTGGGATCATGTTCCACGATGAAGTGGGCAGACATTTACTTTATGGTGAAGAAATAACTACAGATATGTCTACATGTAAAAAAATAAACAAGTTGATTTAAGGTAACTTCATTCAAAATGATAAGAAAAATGTTCTATGTGGCAAAGCATTCTTCGATTTTTGAAAAACAAGCAAAATCTTTATAAACGCATATTCTTAGGAACTGTGTTTACCTTTTTTCAGCTTTGTTTTGATAGAGGGCTCTCTTTTGAACAATTCACCAACATGAGAAAGAGCCAGTATTAAATTAGGATGATAATGTAGTAAACTTTCGTCAAGTGAACATAATGAACATACACCTAAAGTGTAAATGTTTGAAACTTTGTTAAATGGGTTCATAAACTAAGAGCATACTTTATAATTACCATATTTACGCCACATTTTGTCATGCAGGCAGTCACAAATGAATACGTTTCTTTGAAAGATATAATGTACAGGTATTTCATTTAATGTAGCTAAACTAATGATTTTGACATTATAAAATTATCTTCAAAATGCTTTGATTGAGAAGATTAATGCATGCAAAATTCGTCCATAAATTTTCTGTTTACTATGTGTACATAAACATATGTAATACGAGTTTGTGTTGATGATATTTCATTTTCAAGGAAGAGTACATTTAAAGTGGATTGGTCTACTATAGATACATTTTCCAAGCCAAATATTGATAGCAAGGACCATCAGTGATGATATGAGTCGCCCTGCCAAATCGCATGCTGCAGCTACTGTGTAGCAGGAGACCCAAAAATCATCAACAGGGCAAAACACATTTTTATTCAAGGGCAATAACTCAGCTGAAAATCGTTCAAGCGAAAACCTTGTACAGTGTCATGCACTAGTACATGGACTACCAATCAATCCTGTAGCGTTTCATAGCAATTGCATTAATGTTATAAGAGGAGTTGTCCTGACAAACTTTTATGAACACCCTTTTCATTCGAGGGCAATAAGTCTAACAAAAAAAATTCAAGCAAAAAAACGTGTAATATGCGCAAATACTTGAGCTATCAATTAATCCTGTAAATTCCATTGAAATTGAAAATGGTATAACATGAGTAGTGCGGATAAACTTTAAAAAACAGAAAAAATAATTAAACGGCCATAACTGCAATAAAATTTATTGAACCATAAAAAGCCGATGATAAGTACAACAAGTCCTGGTACTTATCATTACTGTAACGTTTGGATGAAATTGAACCAGCAGTTTATGAGGAGTAGTGCGGACAAGTTTTGTGACGGACGGTCAGACAGACGTACAGACAGACGACGGAGAAGTGATCCCTTTATGCCGCCACTACTCCGTAGAGGCGACACAAAAAACGATAAAAATGTATCATTTGGATATTTCGGGAGAACGAAACGCTGTTAGGGTTCTCAAGTGATTTAGGATGCACTTTTATGGGATGAATAATAATATTTTGTTCCAGAACATTTTATTATCTGCAATATATTTATATGTCATATTGGATCATGTATTTAACACTTACCAACAACATCTATATATACAATGTAAACCTTTGGGGGTTTGATTTCACGTACTATCAATATAAATATTTCTAGTATATCAGAGCTTCCATTATAGACCGATGCACTTTAAACGTCGAATTCAGGGCCTTGATACTTTAAAGATGTACGGTGCATTGACACATGTTTTAAATTTGATAAGTTTATCAGGTGTATATTTGAGTTGTTTTTACATCCATTATTTACGATGGCAATGATATAGTTACACTATAAACAGGACAGATCAATTATTTCCGAAGTTATAGTCCTGAAACTGTTTTATATGTATACATTAAAATATCTTTATTAGGTATAGTTTAATGTTGCATAAAAGTTAATCGCCGAGATATGAGAATATCATATTACGATTTTGTAGAATATTGCTGCATATTTTACACGTGCATTCACATTGACAAAGTGCGAGCACTTAGAAACCCAAACTGAATAATGGGATAATTAAAAATTTAATATTTCCATCCGTCAATTAACTGCGTTTTCGTTTCGAGTTGAGATATAAGAGTACATATAGATTTTAAAATTCTATCAAACATGAAACTCCTGTTTTTTATTTTTCTTCTTTTTTTCAATTATAGAGTTTATGTTGGAGAAACAATATTTTGTTATGGCAAGGTTATATCATAAGTTCCGAATAATCAAAAATAAAGAGAATCAGTCACGAAATGTGTACCTTAATTATCATCACCGTATTATGAAACTCCCGAGGCGAATTTGCTAAATTCATATTTGTATATTTATACATACAAAGACAAAGCTACATGCCTAGTA